CCCCCCCCCACCTTCTTGACTTTGATTAATATGCTGCAGTGCTTCAGAGAATTCTGGGAAACATCATGTTTTACTATAAAGGGTGTTACAAAGGATACTGAATGATGCTTGATGAAGAGATGAATGGGGTAGGGGCACAGAGTGCCTCGCTCTCCAGGAGCCACCTTTGTGTTTGGGTGTCCCAAAGCTCTCTAGACCTTGTCCTTTTGGGTCTTCATTTGGTAGGCCTGATTAGTAAGTCATTTGCCTTGCGGAAGTGAAGCTGAAATCCTCAACCTGCTAGACCCACTTTGGTATTTCCTGTAACTAGTACCCATGCTGAAGCGACCTCAGGGTTGCCAGCCGTCAGTCATCAGTGTACAAAATGACATTGCTTTGTAGATTGCAAGGACTTCAGGTTTCTTATTGCATTCATTTATTATGCATATATTATTAGAATGTAAGGAGTTGTGTGTGATGGAGCAGAGAGAAAAACCATACAGTTTCACAATACAATATCACCAAGTATTTGCCAAAGCAAACTGTTACCTAAGAATGATCCTGGTACTGGAAAGACAGCTCAGTGGTTAAAGATTTTTGTTTCTCAAGTGATGACTGGAGTTCAGATGCCCAGAACCCACATGCTAGGCATGCATGATGGACAACCTGTAATTTCAACCTCAGTAATTGGAAATGGGAGCTCCACAAGGTGGCTAGCCATAAAGCCAGTTGTGGATTTGATTGAGAGACCCAGCAATGGTTAAAGTAGAAGAGAGATCAACACACATGCTCACTACAAACACACATGAAATTGGGAAAGCGGGGGGGGGGAGAAATGACAGTAGCTGAGCCTGAGGATGTACACCTACATAAAATCCCAGTAATTGGTAGGCTGAGCTGAAGAACTAGGAGCACAGAGTTTGAGGCTGGCCTAGAATACATACTCAAAAGCCAAAAAAGGGGGCTGGAGAGATGGCTCACTGGTTAAGAGCACTGGCTGCTCTTGCAGAGGACCTGGGTTTGGTTCTCGGTGCCCACATTGTGGCTAACATCCTTCTGTACCTCCAGTTCCAGGAGATCTGACACCATTTTCTGACCTCAGTAGGCATTGCATGACATGGGTGTACTCACATACATTCATATACATGAAATAATAAAATACATTCAAAAACCCAAAAAGGAACTGGGAAAGGCCTGAACATAGGCTTAATTTGGTATGCTTGCCTAGCATACATGAAGGCCTGAGGTCACTCCTTAGAACTGCAAAAACCAGGCATAGTGCTGCACTCCAATTGATTGTTGAAGGCAGGAGGATCAGAAATTCAAGACCAGGCTACAGGAGACATTCCCTTTCTCCCCCCACAAAATAGAACCAGGCGTGCTGTCTCTTACCTATAATCCCAGCACTCGAGGGGCAGGGTGAACTGAAGCTGTTTCTTTTCTCCTTACTGTGGCTGGAAGCAACTTAAGGAAGGGTTCCTTTGGCTAGTGGTTTGAGGGGATGCAGTGCATCATAGCAGGAAAGGCAAGGCAGCGGGAATGGGAGGTGAGTGATCACGTTGAGTCTATGGAGCAGAAGTACAGAAAAGGAAGCTGGTGCTCTTCACTTTCTTCCTTTAATTCAGTCCAAGAAAACAGCCCATAGGACAGCACCACTCACACTCAGGGTAGCTCATCCCTCGTTAAGTAAACATGGAAACATTCTCACAGACATGCTCAGAGGTGTGTCTCTTTGAGTACAAATACAAGTAAGCTGACGATGAAGATCTACTATCACAGCTACATATCAAGATGTTGGAAGTACATTCAAAAATTGAAGAAAGACCAAAGGACTTTTTTTTCTGATACTGAAGATAGAACCAAAGGCCTTGTGCATGCTGGACAGGTGCTCTACCACTGAGCTATGCTCCCAGCTCAGACCAATAGATTTTTAAAGAGGTGCTGGGAATCGAACCTGGGTTTATTTATTATTTTTATTTTGTGTATATGAGTGTATTGCCTGCATGTAAGTGCACCTGTGTCATGAAGTACTTGTGGAGGTCAGAAGAGGGCTTTGTATCCCCTGGAACTGGAGATATAGATGCCATGTTAGCTGCCATAGACTGTATCTCAAAAGACTACAAATGGGCTGGAGAGTTGGCTCAGCGGTTAAGAGCACTGGCTGCTCTCGCAGAGGACCTAGAGTCGATTCCCAGCCCCCACTGGTGGCTAACAACCATTTGTAACTACAGTTCCAGGGGAATCCAACAGCCTCTTCTGATTTCTGAGTGCATTGCACGACACAGGTGCACTTACATATCATGCAGGCAATACACTCATACACATAAAGTAAAAATAATAAATAAAATATTTTAAATGACAAATAATTACATTGATTGTACTATCACTTCATGGGGAATGGAAGATTTCAGTATGCTATTG